TGGGCGTTGCTGTCCGTCTTGGAGTGGACCTAGGGTTGCATTACGAGGATGGCGTGGGTATCGACGGGGCGGGTGCGGAAGACCAGTCTGCTGGAACCGCGGCCTTCAAAACTGAGGGTAATGGGAACACGACGGCTGCCGGCGCCGGGAACCCTTCGAAAATAGACGCAAAAGAGAGGGGCCGCAGACAGTGGGTCAGAGACCTAAGAAGACGCTTGTGGTGGTGCGTCTACTCGTTGGACAGACTGGTCAGCACGTGTGTTGGCAGACCTTTCGTAAGTACTCTCTTGGGTCTTCATTTTCGTATGGTACTACCGATCATGTCGGTTATGTCACGATCCCGCATGCATGTGCGGCTGTCTTTACCAGGGGATATGTCGAGGATCGGAATGCTCGACACCGACTTTCCAACATTGTCTTGTGCTCTCAAAATTCGATGCGTGACTAACAGCTGCACAGGGTATCACAGACCAAATTGTGACCACCGAATTCCCCTCGCTCCTCGATGATCGCTACATTACCAAGGAAGGATTTCTGGAACCGCCAGTGCATCAAGAGAAGCCGACATACAAGATTGTCGCCCACCATTACTTCCGGTTGAGACTACTGCAGTCTGAAATTCTGCAAGTCCTACAACATCGGCAGGCACAGCAGGCGAGAGCGAGTGGTGCCAATCAGAGCAATGAGTTCATGCACACTAAGCTGCCTTCGCCATTCTTGATCAACTTCGAGTCGTTCCGCGCGTGGCGCGTAGATATCGACAGACGGTTACTGGAATGGAAAGACTCGGCGCCCACACAGCTCGATGCCGGTGTGCAGTTCTCGCCCCTGTTCCTAGAGCTCAATTACTGGCAAGCGTTGATCATGCTGTATCGACAGAGCCTGGTCGTGCCCTCTGGTCTGCAGGAAGAACTGGGCAATACCGGCTCAGATATGGGCAGTCCCTCCATGAGCAATCTTGAGGAGCGCGAAGACGAAGATCTCGTTTTCCTCAAGGTAGCCGAAGCCGGCCAGAAGGTTTTGAAGTTGTATCGACAGTTGCACCGCGTACATCTTGTCAACTACACCTTTTTGGCGACACATCATCTCTTCATGGCTGGTAAGCTCCACGGTCTTCACCGGTACTCAACAGTGCTAACATTTACAGGCATATCCTTCCTTTACGCTGTGTGGCACAGCGTTCATGTACGCAGTCTATTGGTAAGTCGGTCCGAATTCTCGTACTACGGTGGATATGTCTTATTGGTGTAACATACATGTCTAACCAATGCAGTCTCTTGACGACGTCGACTTCACCGTCCTTGCCGCGACATCCGTGCTGGGTGACCTGATCGACAAGTGCCCGCCTGCAGAAGCATGCCGCGATGCATTCGATCGGATGAGCAAAGCGACCATTCAGATGTGCATGTCCACCACCGGCTTCGGACCTCAAGCTCTGCGGTCACTTCCGCAGCAACAGCAGTACCCTACGCAGACTTCGCCAAATACTGCATACACATCTGCAGCCGACGCAGATGTCAGGTCAGACACTGATATGCAAGGCTACGGATCAAGAAGTACAACCAACTTCTTTGCCCAACAGCAACAACAGCAGCAGCAGCGTCGGCCCATGCCACGCTTCGACATGAACCTCAAAGACCTCTTCTCCGACGACGAGACCGACAAACGGTCATTCAGTCGCGTAAGCAACCAGGTCAACGCCATGAGACCCCCTCCTCCACCCATGAAGTCCGAATCTCAAATGCAGCCCTTTACAGCGGACCTCAAAATCTCTCCTCAACTCCGCACGCCCCACCACCAACAACAACAGCAACAGAATAACTTCTTCGCCCAAAGCTCAAACATGCCTAGCCCGAACCAACAAAATACCTTCTCTACTTCTCCGCCTACTAATCCATCGATGCCATCGCCGTATCAGATCAGCAATCAGGTGCCCTACAACAATTTCTCACAGAATATCACGTCCAGCTACCCTGATCTAGGCTTCTCTGATCTAGATTTCCTGGACAGTTTCCCCGTGCAAGGCGCAAGCGGTAGTGGTGCTGATGCAGGAAGCGGGGGATTGCAAGATGTAGGTATAGGCTTTGGAATGGGATTTGGTGATGGGACTCATGATTGGAGTGATGTAAGTTTCCTCCCTCACTGTCGCTACTATTTGCTACGATGGAAGTACGAGTGCTGACAATGACCAACAGGGCAATGGCTTGGATCTCTTTGATGGGTTTTTCTTTGGTCCTGGAGGCACAGGCGGGACTGGGATGTAGAATTTGGTGTTGGTGTTCCGAGAACCGGCTCTCGGCCTCGATGTGTGAGCACGGGAATAATACCGCCGTCGGCTCATTGTACTTGATGGTATCGAGTAAAATGATACCGGGTATTGTTCTCACCCGCCCTTCTGTAGATCTGCGGCACAGTCGCGAACGTGGGGGCAGGGCAGGATAAGCCGGAAGGCGGCGGTCTCCGATGGAAAATGGATACTACGCCGTTACGGGCAGGATGGCAACGAGGTTATGGATGGGTGTATGATAGATGTGTTCAATCCATTAGAGATTTTGTGTTGTCACTGAGTGTGTTTAAGTTTGGACGTTTTAATGGTCTGAGTGATCTAGGGGTTGTTGTGTGCAACTGGAGGACTTGGACTATCACCACGCTGGAGTGTACGGGTATCAAACGTCTGCCCTGAAATAGACAGAGAACCCATTCACGTTACCACGACCTCCTCTTCTCGCCCATGATCATCCACGCCCCTGTGACTGCATTCCTGCTGCTCTCCTTCTCCCCCAATCCTTCCAAACACACACATACTACTCCGCACCCACGACAACGGCGCTCAATCGGAATCACACCCTCTACACATAGATGTTTGCAACTTTCGAAAACAACCCGTCTGCCCATGTCAAAGAAACCCTCTACCCGGGTCTTTGTTCTCCTCTCCTCCCTTCCCTTCGCATCCCTTGATGTTTCTTCCGCATCCCTCCCATACCTAGGTACCATCTCCGTTCGCAGTCATGCCACACCATGCCCAGATACTGTCTCCGTCTCGGGCTCACAGAACATCCCAAGGTTCGATGTATGATGAGCTGAGTACAGGTAGTGTAGGGTCATAACTCATAAGGGCGTGTTGACTCACACCCCGTTTTACCACGTAGACTTCCCACATCAGCATCGGCATCTGCATCATTCATTGCCCGCAACCACATGCACGACTTCAATATACTTCGCACTCTTACCACTCTCATCACTTCGTAATCACTGTCTCTTTAATCGCCGCGTCACCATCAAATTCAAATCCAACCCCATCACATACGCACTTGACATTTGCCCAAGCGCAAACGCTACCAAAACGCGCTTCGTCGTTATCACGTACCGATCATACTTCCCGATACCACAATGTGTCTCTACATGGTCGTCCACTACGGACCGAACCCCTTCTCACTGGCACGACTTCTCTCACGACAAAAAGCCGAGATACAGCAACGAAGTACATCAGAATGGCGAGTCGAGCGTTTGAGTCTGAATCGTTTGCGGGAGCTGTGGCATTTGAAGTGTCGGAGTCGAGAAGATTTGAACGATGGGGAGAAACACGATGGGTTCGACATGAGTTACTGAGCCAAGAGAAATCAGTGGCAAACACATCACAATACGAGCAAAAATAGAATGGAGCTCTTTGGAATGAACTTTTTGAATTCTTCCTTCAGCTGATGTGCAGAAGACTTGTCTAAGCTAACCAGAGCATGTGGCTCGGCCTGCCCTCCATCCTCCGTCGAAGAGTGGGCGACCAGTAGTCGTGATCTTCATGGTATCGTTTTGAAGCTAACCGTTTACTCCACCCATTGAACAAAAAGCACAACAGCCTAGTTCATCTGCCTGACGAGCTGGTTGATGAACTCCTCGCGGTTACCAAGGTCACCACCCTCGATGAAGTGCTTGAACTTGCGGGTGCGGAAACCGCCAGTAGGGGAAGACAGCTTGAAGGGCCAGAGGAAGTTGGAGACGGCCTTGAAGTTGGGGCCGACGGTGTAGATCTCGTGGATGATGTCCTCAATGCAGGTGATACCGAACTTGCCGAGGTTGGCCTCGATGAGCTCGTTGTCGGTGATCGGCAGACGCTGCTTGTTGACCTTTCCGTAACCGCGCTTGTAGACAAGCTCGCGGACAGTCTTCAAGTTGGGGTATCCGTAGGCGACGAAAGGCTCGACGATCTTCAGCATCTCGCTGGTGGCCTTGGTGAGCTTGACGAAGACACCGTTGTTGATCTGGAGAAGACGGAGGAGCTGGAGGGTCTTGCGCTTCTTGGGGTCGATCTTGTTGATACTACGCGGGTTAGTAAAAGATTTTGCAAATGTGGAAAACTGCAACGTACCCCTTGATACGGACAACGAAGGCGAGGCGGGACTCGGCGGGGACGAAGAGAGAGTTGTCACGCTTCGCGGCACGCTTGGCCTCGATGACATCGCGCTGGGCCTTTGCGTACTCCTGGGTGTACTTGGCGGCGCGCTCCTTGATGACCTCGCGCTTTTGCTTGCTGGCCTAAGAAATCTTAGCCAACTGTGGAACTCCTATCTGCTTGCGCAGGTTCTGGGAGACTGTTATACCTCACGCTTCTTCTTCAACTCAGCGGCCTGGGAGTCGCTGGTCTTCTGGTGGGCCTTCTGCTTCTTGAGCACCGACTCGGGGACAGCGATGTCATTCTGGGTGGGGACGCTGGGTTTGTTAGCTGAGTTGCAGTGAATTGAGCGCGGCATACTCACGATGAGCGGGCCATTTTGCTGGTGGTTAGTATCCTTGTTGTTGTCGGAAGCTGGAGGAAGAAAGTTCGGCAGCCCAGTTCGAAATTCATGTGCGGGCGCTAGTGTGGCCGCCAAGATCGAGTGCAGCGCTAATGCCCCGCTCTATTGGCCCGCCTCTCCAAGCTATCGACATTTTCCTGAGAGCTACCAACTTGCGACAGCTGCGGCAGGTTTGCAAATTCAGCCTTTTCCATATACCTACTCGCAGCAATGGCACGAGGCGGCGGTCGCGTGAGTAGATACAGTATGCGCCACACATAGATAACGCCCACTGACTTCCATAGGGCGGTGGTCGCAAACCATTTCGCGGCAAGGGTAAAGGTCGCGGCGGCGGCGGCGGTGGTGGAGGACGTGATACTCGCTCAGAGCCATGGTCCACCATTGAGCGCAAGAATGAGCTCTTCGAGAGCTACTATCGCATGGGAGGATTCCTGGAAGAAGCAGAGTTCGAGGAGATGTGGAAGGCTCTCCAGACCGATCTGCCAAACAGTTTCCGCTTCACTGGGACCAAGTCCGATGCCCTTGCAGTGCGCGAAATCTTCAAGCAGCGCTACATCCCGGCGATCGCATCCAAGCAGTTCGAAGGCAAGCCCGTGTCGCCTCCCGAGGCAGTCCAGGCCTTCCCCGATGAGCTCGTATGGCACATGAAGACGCACAAGAAGGTCATTCGACGACATGCGCCCTTTGCCGACTTCCAGAAGTTCCTCGTCGCCGAAGCCGCGTCCGGAAACATCAGCAGACAGGAAGTTGTCAGCATGATACCGCCACACTTTCTCGATGTCAAGCCAGGCATGGTAGTCCTCGACATGTGCGCAGCACCGGGAAGCAAGTCGGCACAATTGGCTGAGATGATTCACGGTGATGAGGAAGAGCGCGTACAGCGGGTAGCAAACGGCGAGTCGGTCGATCTTAGTCAAGACGGTGACTACAGCGACGACGGGCGCTCAACAGGTCTCCTTATCGCGAACGACTCCGACTACAAGCGCGCCGGCATGTTGGTCCACCAGGTCAAGCGCCTCAACTTCCCCAACCTTATCGTAACTCAACACGACGCCTCCATCTTCCCCTCGATCGAGCTACCTAGCGACGGCCAGAGGAAACAATACCTGAAGTACGACAGGATCCTGGCTGATGTGCCTTGCTCCGGTGACGGAACAGCCCGCAAGAACCCGAACGTATGGCAGAAGTGGACGCCTAAGGATGGTCTTGGTCTTCACGGACTCCAGCTGCGCATCCTGTTCCGAGGTCTTCAGATGCTGAAGAAGGGTGGCCGCATGGTGTACTCTACCTGCAGTTTGAACCCCGTGGAGAACGAGGCTGTCGTCGCAGCAGCCATCGAGGCTTGCGGTGGTAACTCGAAGGTCCGACTCGTGGACTGCTCAGACCACCTGCCAAACCTCAAGCGAAAGCCCGGTCTCAACGTGTGGAAGGTGCTCGACACATCGTCAGTCACTGCCGGAGGAGAGAAGACCGCTCACATGTTTACCAACTGGGAGGCATACCAGAAAGCGAGGGCAAAGTACGAGGCCGAAGAGCCCGAACGTCAGTTCTCCACCAAGGTCACTCCCGGATGCTTCCCCCCTGTACCGAAGTCCGAGGAGGAGCGCATCCCTCTTGAAAACTGCATTCGTGTTTACCCACACTTGCAAGATACTGGCGGTTTCTTCATCGCCATCCTTGAGAAGGTGGATGACATCAAGATTGCGCAGGTACAGAACCCAGAGAACTTGGCCAAGGCCCAGAGGTCGCACGCCAACGCCGACACAACCACTGACTCATCGATCCCCACTCCTGCTGAGAACGTGATTGAAGCCGACGCTACCAAGACAGAGTCTGCAGATGAGACCTCTGAGACGGCTCCCCTGAAGCGTAAGCTGGAGGAGGATGAAGATACCGAAGCCCCCAAGAAGGCCAAGACCGAGGATGCAGTCGCTGAGGCAGCACAAACACCAGACGCAAAGCCTGCCACCAACGGCTCAGCTGCCCGTTTGAAGCCTGAGAACCAGTCGCAAGCCAAGGAGTACTTTGAATACCTCCCATCTGACGATGCAACCATCGCCTCCATCATGAACTTCTTTGGCATCGACGACCGCTTCCCACGCGACCGCTTCATGGTCAAGAACAAGGAGGGTCTCTCCCTCAACAAGATCTACTACACTTCCGATCTGGCCAGGACTATCCTCACGCTCAACAAAGACCGCGGCATGAAGTTCATTCATTGCGGTGTCGTCATGTTCGTCGCACACAAGATCAAAGACCAGGATCGTACGCAAGCACCATGGAGGTTACAAAACGAGGGTATCCGTATCCTCGAGCCATGGGCAAGGAAGCGCATAGTCAAGCTAGAGAAGAAGGAAACCCTTCACCAGCTCATCCGCGAGATGTTCCCTAAGCTACCCAAAGAGGGCGACACCGGCCTCGGCGAAGTCGGTTCGCAGCTCCAACAGATGGACGTGGGCTGCTGTTTTATCCGCGTCGAGAAGGACGACGAGAAGGGTATTCCGTTCCGCATGGTACTTCCTCTCTGGAGACATCCTGGCAGTGCCAATCTCATGGTCGACAAGGATGACCGCAAAGCCATGCTGCTTAGGTTATTCAACGAGAAGGACACCGAGATTATCAACCATGTTGCCGATAAGGCCAAGGCGGAGCAGCAAGCCCGCGATGCTGAAGAGGCAGGCGAGGATGACGCCAAGGTGAAGGATGAGGGAGATGTTAGTGACGGCGAGCAAGCCACCGAGGCCATGGTCGCTGAAGAGGAAGAGGGCGCTATGAAGGTTGAGGTCGAAGACGACGATGTGAAGATGGAGGGTGATGCTTAGGCGTCGTCATCTCTTTATGACGGAAAAGTCATCATTAGAGCATTTTGGCTTTGGCTCATCATCTGGTCTGCATTTGGGTTGGCGTTTTATCTTCTTTATTTACCATCTGGAGCTTAGCTTCTCACTCTATCACGCATATCTATGTATGAATGTCATGATGCAATCATTCAACATCTTCATTACGTCTGAGTTGCATAACGTGAAGCTCTTCTTGTTATAATCTCCATTACCATGTATTACAAGGGGTATACCAATAAGACTACAAAACATACTTTGAACTCCCCATACTTTCCCCATCATAAACCCGTGCTCAGAGACCGAAACAAGGATAAACCACACAGACTCTCACGCAAACCGATACCCCCTCCTCAAAAAGCCCACCTAAGACTTTTCCTTTTCCTTATCCCCCGCTTTCGTCGCAACACTCTTCCCGCTCTTAACACTCTTAACACTCTTCATACTCTTCAAGCTCTTCTTACTCGCACTACGCTTCAGTTTCGCTTTGAGTTTACTCCATTTCTCTCTGAGGCCACCGTCTTCATCCTCGTCGACATCTTTCGGCCGCTCGATGCTATCGAAACTGCCGCGCGGGTACTCGAGCTCACTGCCAATGTCTACGCTATCGTTGTTTCGGGCGTGTTGCTGGTGTGACTTCCGGGGTGTTTGTTTAGATGGGGTTTGCATGCCAGACGATGCGGCGATGTCTTTGTGACGACCGAGGAGCATGAATTGGAGGGTTTGCCAGGCGGGCATGTTGGCTATTGGACTGTCTTTTTCGTTGGCCTGGACATCGGCGTTCTTCCAGGGACAATGCTCGCGGTGGGACTCCAGAAGATTTAGCCGTAGGCTCTCAATCGGCACATCTAGTTTCTTGCTCATCTCTGTGAGGCGCGTGGCAGATGACAACCACAGACCCAGGCGCTGGAAACAGTGGTTGCATACTGCGAGGGAGATGCGCGATTCAGACACGCCGGTCCAGCCGAAGAGGGCGAAGACGAAGGCTACGGTGTCGCTGGGTGAGAGCGGGGGTTGGGTACCGGTGGATGTGAAGAAGGAGGAGGGGATGCGGGAGAGGATTTGTTGGATGGGTGGGTCGGGGTAGGTGATGTGTTCGAGGAGGGGGAGGTCGGCGGATATGGCTTTGAGGAAGCGGTAGCGGTCGAGGAGTTCGGCTGAGCTCTTGGTGCGTGACGCGATGGGGATGTGGTAGATGTCTTCTATTTGGGTCGTTAGTTGTGTCACCGGTCCTACTGTGCGTATCCTCATACCTTGACACCCTCGCTTCCTCCATAGGCAGTCGTCTGAATGTCCCTCCACAATTAGGTCCTTGTATCGCTCTATGAGAGCGTCGTCGATATCGAAAGCCAGATCCTCGCTCATTTCCAGATCCTTTCCGTTCGCATCTTTCCGCTTCGGCCTCAGCTTGACCGCAACACGGTTCTCGCATCCACCCTTGCAGGCCACTGTGTTCCAGATATCGCAACTCCAGCCCCGCTTCGCCCACTCGACCTCGTTGATCGCATCGGGCTTGGTCGTCCACTTCCTCACGTCTGCAAACGTCTTCAGGCGCTCCAGGAAGTGTTCTTGGCTGTAGGGCTGAAAGTTGGGTGCTTTGCGCGGTGTCGAGGCTTTCGGCGTGACTACAGTCTTGCCTACAACCTTGATTGTCTTTTCCCTCCGCGGCGTCATAAGCTGTTCCTTGAGCCGCCGTATGCGCTCCTGTCCTTCCGATATGCCTCTCTGGCGCTCCATGCTCAGGTTTGCGCTGCGCGGACGCTTGTTCGGATGTTCAGGGCTGTCTGGTTCCGAAAGCGCGGAGAGGGACGCGGTCGATGCATTTGATTCTTGGAGGGTGCTCGCGAGTGAAGTCGTCGAGTTGCTTGCGGTGAGGTTATCGAGGAGCTTGTGGAACTTGCGCTTCGTGGTCGCAAGCGCAGGCTGCTGCTCTGTCGAAGTCATGGTGCCGGAGTGAAATGGGTTTGCGATGATGCGGGTGGAAAGGCGGATCGTTCGGGTTTGATTATTGGGATGCGCGCGTCGTAGAGTCTTGTGTCGATCTTTGTTTACGTCCACTCGAGTTGAATGCCAGGTCCGTCTATTCACTCAGCATCGATCAGTCGCAGCCGAAAAGATATGATAAAAGCTGCACTTCATCAGAAGAAACCGCGGTCTCGAATGTCTGTGCACTAACAGCAGTTGAAAGCCGTTGGGGAAAGTGTTGTTGCCATGGCGGCGACCCGATTCCCCATGCAGTAATCTCCGCCCGCAGCGCCAAGGCCAGCGCCAGCGGCTGCGTCGCGTCAACCCACCGAGCTGCAGAACCCCACCAAAGCGACAAGGAGGGGCTGAAGATTGTTAGTGTTAGCGTTCAATGCCCACCCAAATTGCGCCATCAAGATTCTTCCTGCTTGCACTCGTCATCCTGGCTATCTCACTTGTCAATCCATCGCTGTTCTCTCGCAGTCTTGCTCGTCTTTCTCAATTGAAACACCACTTCTACCCGTCCGCCGCACTCCATACCTCACAGCACGTATACACGACCTCGAATCGAAGCATACACACCATGGCCTACGAAAAGGAATTGGAGATCGCTCTCCTTGCCGTCCAGCGCGCTTCCATCCTCACAAAGTCCGTCTACTCGAGCCATTCCAAAGGCACCCTCTCCAAGAGCGACTCCTCGCCCGTCACAATCGGCGACTTCGGCGCACAAGCCCTCATCATCGCATCGATAAAGCACGCCTTCCCCGAAGACGAAGTCGTCGGCGAGGAGGACGCCAATGACCTGCGCAACAACGACTCGCTCCGCGACCTCGTCTGGGACCTCGTACAAGCCGCGAAGCTCTCTGACAGCAACGCAGAGGAAAAGATCGGCGGACCCATCAAGAGCGCAGACGCCATGCTCTCAGCCCTCGACCAAGGAAACAGCGAGGGCGGAAACAAGGGCAGAATTTGGGCTCTCGACCCCATCGACGGCACAAAAGGTTTCCTGCGCGGTGGACAATACGCCGTCTGCCTGGGCCTCCTCGTCGACGGCGTCCCCACCGTCGGCGTAATCGGATGCCCCAACCTGCCCGTCGACGACCAAGCCCCACTCACTACAACCACCGGACAAGACGCCGACGACAAGGAGGGCAAAGGCGTGCTCTTCGGCGCTGTAAAGGGACAAGGTGCTACAAGCCGCCCCCTCAGCGCCGGCGCCCTCACACAAGCCAACCCCATACAAATGAAACCCCTCTCCGACGTCACCCAAGCCACCTTCTGCGAATCCGTAGAAGCAGGCCACTCCTCCCAAGGCGACAACGCAGCCATCGCGTCCAAGCTCGGCATCACAAAGCCCTCCGTACGCATGGATTCGCAAGCAAAGTACTGTTCCATTGCGCGTGGAGCCGGTGATTTGTACCTCAGACTACCTGTTAGCAAGACGTACCAGGAGAAGATTTGGGATCACGCGGCTGGTGTTGTGTTGGTTCAGGAAGCTGGCGGCGAGGTTAGCGATGCGTATGGGAAGCCGCTTAACTTTGGTCTGGGCAGGACGCTCAGGGAGAATAAGGGTGTTGTTGCTGCGCCTAAGGATGCGTTTAAGCAGGTTATTGAGGTGGTCAAGGAGGTGCTGTTGAGTAAGAAGGAGTAGGGGCGTGGTTGTTGATCAATGAATGATATCATGATTATCCGTATCAAGTTATGCGGTTTTGGTCGTGATGTCCTGCGTTTTGACATCTTGGAAAGCTTCGTATAGGCCGCTGTCATGGCGGAGTCGATATCACGCCTTTTTGCTCTCGAAATACATTGCAAACAAAACAGTCACAATCAACCAACAAAGCTCGCACACTGATTCTAGCAGGAAACCCACGTCCAAAACTCTCATTGAACTACCCCAATACTCTAGTCAGAATTGAAAAAACGCCAAAATGCGGAACCATAAAGATACCCAGAAGATGATCCCTCCCTTACCATACCAATCAAACTTTACTCCTACTCCAGTTCCAGTTCCAGTCCCAATTCCAATATACCAGTATAAAATACCCTCCTATTTTCCACCAGAAAAAGCCGTAGTAAAGCGTAACTGAACTTCCCCCATTTTCGAACCATGTTTTCCTCCCGTTGGGTATCACCTGCTGCTGATCCTCCATCGTATCTTGCTCCGTGGAGGCAAGTTAGTTTCCGAGCCTTTGTTTACTCCGTTAAAGTGCAATTTTATTTCTCTCTCCGTTGCGGATGTTGTTGGAGGTGTTGTTGACGTGTTGTTGAAGTGAGCGATGCGGTGCTTTCGCGTGTTGAGATAGACTGTCAAAGTTTGTTGTGTGGCGGCTCATGCTGTGAGTGTAGTCGTGGGTGTGAGGATACCGCCGGCCAGAGTATCATCGCCGCTCTCATCGACAAAGGTACTTTCGGCACCTGCGTCGAGCTCGTCGGTGTCGACATCCGCCTCTGCACCGGTATCATTGACTTCCTCAGTCTGTTCTTGCTCGCTGTCGTGCTGAACGTGTTCAGCCTCAACGTCTACCGGTAGATGCAGTATGTGAGCACTCATGCCGGGCACAGGAGTGAGGTGCATCTGCGCCAGTCCTTGTTGAAATGCTTCAACCTCTTCATTGACGTCTTCAGTCATTTCGACATTGTTCTCTTCATCATCAGAATGATCGTAGGCAACGTGATATGGCGAAGGCCCCGACGCACTGATGGTGGTCAAGTTTGCAGGTTCCTCCATGACACCGAACTCTGTTGTCACAGTAATGGAGTCCGGGCTCGGGATAGGTAGCTCGGGTGCATATAATGAGGAGGGGCCATCCATGGTCGGGTTGACAGTGCTCTCGTCATAGACTGTTGTGAAGAACTCAAACATCTGTCCAGCCAGCTCATCTGCCTGCCCGCGCTCTTCCTTGTCTTTCCTCTGCTTGGCGATGGCACGAAGTTGTTCCTCTTTCTTTTGTTTGATCTCCGCCTCAAGCCGGCATTTGGCACGAACGTTGGGTTTGTGTGTGCATGTCGGGCAGTGGTAG